TTGACATTGCCTGGGCACTCTCCGAACGACATGAGTGCTGAAGCCTGAGATCTACCTCACACCGAACCTGTCTACTATGATAGCGCCCGACATGGATCCATCCGTTCAAAGGCTTCTGAGTGACAAGCTATACGATAAGCGGAAACAAGGTGCTTTGGAGTGAGCACTCAATGAACCCCAAGCACCAGCAAATCTATACATAAAAACATTTGACTGAAAACCACAAGCTAACTCTTCATTCTTTTATGGAAACAATAGGCTGGAAAAGGTCATCCGCGATGCCCTTGCGAAAGGTGAACATAGCAAAATAAAAAATATTGTCGACCAGCTGTGTCATGAATATGCCTACGCTGTTCACCAACCTCACACAAGAAATGGAGGATTAATCGGCCTCGCAGCCGCTTCGATTGCGCTTGGGACTGTGAGTTGTGTGAATATCGTACAATTTAGTTGTGCAAATAGCATGGAAACTCAGTATTATCTATGTAGGATGAAGTTGCGCCCTACCTCCACGAGATTGTCCCTCCCGTCCTCGCCTGTTTTACAGACCAGGATGCTCGAGTTCGATATTACGCGTGCGAAAGCATGTATAATATCGCGAAAGTGGCTAAGGGGGAATTGCTACTATTTTTCAATGATATATTCGACGCTCTATGCAAAGTAAGTCTGAGATGATGAATTCATGTGCAAAATGTATTACAAAGTTAATTGACCCTTCGGGTGCTAGCTGGCTTCCGACTCAGAGCTGTCAGTGAAAAACGGCGCAGAGCTCCTCGACCGACTGGTGAAAGATATAGTTTCTGAATCGGCAGCCTCATACGTTTCCGTTTTGCAAGTCCCCAGAAAAGGTCATGGCGAATCTGGGGTAGATGGTGCTGATGAATCAGAAGTCGCCGATCTGCCCACAGCATTCTCGCTTGCGAATTTCATTCCCCTCCTCAAAGAACGCATACATGTCATAAATCCTTTCACTCGTACCTTCCTGGTGTCGTGGCTGACTCTGTTGGATACCATACCCGATTTGGAGCTTGTGTATTATTTACCTGCGTTCCTAGGAGGCTTGTTCAGGTTCCTCAGTGACCCCAATAGAGATGTTCATACAATTACCCAGGGTGCTCTGGAGACATTCCTTAACGAGATCAAGAAGATTGCTCGGATAAAAAAGGGGATCGCATACAGCCGCCGTGATCAGGAAAGCGGGAGTATAAAACGATCAGCTACTAGCGATAGTATGAGTGTTGGCTCAGGCTCGAACAACCCCAAAGACATTAGCGAAAATGCTATTGCGGATTCGGATTCTGGAACTGCCAATGGTGAAGATGTTCATGTATATGGAGATTATGTTCCCGGGCAGGATGTATACGTAGATCATCCCAAGATCCTGGATATTCTAGTTGGTTTTGTGGACACGGCGTTTGGTACGTTTACCTCATCTGATATGAGATATTCGTTTCGCCAACCATATGCTAACGAAGCTACAGAGGAGGAAATCCAGCTGACGGCCCTCCGATGGATTGATAGCTTTTTCGAAATAAGCCCAGAGGACATACTTCAATTTGTCCCCCGCCTCCTTTCACAAGTGCTACCTGCCCTTTCGAGCGGTTCAAACCAAGTTCGTGAGGCTGCAAACCGGGTTAACACATCACTCATGCAGTATATTGTTTCCCTCACTGATGATAACGCCCTTGATGAGACACGACTAGCGGCACCATCAAGGGTGCCTACCGGGCCGATTAAAGAGGCAGATGGTCGAAGATCATCAACTCCTACGGGCAAACAGTCTAGCCTTTCTGCGGTTAACGAAGTCAACGTCAAAAAGCCGCTCCCATCTCGCCCTGCATCCAGAACTGATTTAACTCCACGAAGCAGCGCAGATGCAACGCCACTACCTTCACCGGATCTAGATTATGCGGCGGCTGTTAGCGCCTTGACTCTCCAGTTCCTCAATGAAAATGAGGCTACGAGAGTTGCATCCTTAGCTTGGTTAATTATGCTTCACCGAAAAGCGCCTCGGAAGGTTCTAGCCTTCCACGATGGCACGTTTCCAGCCCTGCTCAAGACTCTGTCTGATCCTTCAGAAGCTGTTGTTACGCGAGATCTGCAGCTACTGTCTCAGATTTCAAGAAACAGTGAGGATGGCTACTTCACATCGTTCATGGTGAATCTACTTCAGCTATTTTCCACTGATCGAAAGCTTCTCGAAATCCGCGGCAACCTTATTATCAGACAACTCTGCGTTAACCTAAGCCCAGAACGTATTTACAGAACGTTGGCAGACTGTCTTGAAAAGGAGGAGGTGGGTTATGCCGCCCAAATTTCTATTCTCGGCCTCTGGTAAATATGAACTAACTATTTGTATGTAGGATATTGAATTTGCTAGTATCATGGTGCAAAACCTTAACAACAATCTTATTACTGCTCCTGAACTAGCTGATATGAGAAAGAGATTGAGAAATCCCGAATCCAGGGTATGTGGAGCTTCCAGGGGATTTCCACGCCTCTCGCTAATGTATTCTTAGGACGGCCAAATGTTTTTCGTTGCATTGTTTAGATCATGGTGCCACAATGCTGTTGCGACATTTTCCCTGTGTTTGCTAGCTCAAGCGTATGAGCAGGCGTATAATCTTTTGCAAATTTTGTAAGGCCCGGTTAGCTCATATATTTTTGTCATAAAAGCTAATCAGCCTCATAGCGCGGAGTTGGAGATGACCGTCAATATGTTAATCCAAATCGACAAGCTTGTTCAATTACTAGAGTCGCCAGTGTTCACCTGTTAGTGCCTCAGCTTAACAGTATTATTATTCATATGGAAGGTCCACATTCGAACTAAATTTATCTTTTATAGATCTCCGTCTCCAGCTTTTAGAACCGGAGAAGTATCCATATTTATATAAATGTCTTTACGGCGTTCTGATGCTGCTTCCTCAAAGTTCTGCATTTGCTGCACTAAAGAACCGCCTAAACAGTGTGAGCAACATTGGATTACTGCAGCCAGCTGCCCGAGGGTACGTCTATACTAGGATCCACACTATCCCATCCCACCCTATTCAATTTCATTGCTCACACATTCTCGAATTATCTAGCATGAGCACAAATACGCCAGGCATTTCTTCATCATACGAACGACCAGGAGGAAGACTAAAATCCCGCGAAGATATCCGATGGGTTGATTTGCTCGAGAAATTCAAGAGTGTACAGGAGAAATCCAGACGGTCAGGGCGCTCATCATCACGTCAATTCGACTCGGACGGGAATAGTATGCCTCATTCATCAATTGCAGCCGCAGTCGCAGCAGCCACTGCTGCCGACCAAAGTGGAAACAAGGAGAAAGGGGCTGTCGATGCCCATCGTTTGAGTGCCCCAGGCGGAGTAGGTACTGGGGGTGGACTCGGAATCGCCCATGCAACGCGGCTAGGGTTTGCCACAAACGAAGGCGCTGCCGTAGCGCAAAAGGCGCCTAAGTCGAGATCCACGTTAGGAAATTTCGGACGATTAAGTGGAATCGGGCAGAGGAAGTCGAAGCGTTGAAATGTCTAGTTTATTGTTGTTGATTGTGCTCAAGGATTACCGGAATGAAAATAACAATCTTGCTCTTCCGTTTACGGTTTCCTTTGTTTTTAAGAGATTTATGAACATATTCCATTGTGGATTTATTTTATTTTTATTTTATTATTTTATTATTTTATTATTTTATTATTTTATTATTTTATTATTTTATTATTTATTTTTTAAACTTCCGTTTTGTCATCGTTTCCTTTGCCAAACATTGTTCTCCTATTGCTCGATTTTACATTATCCCCTTGATAGATGATCAGAAGTGGTTATGTCTGACGAATTGAAGCAAGCGAATTATCATACCAATTTGTAGATAAATATGATACATTGATGCTTGGTAGCATTTGGGAGTTGATATGTAGTCTTGTGAGACGATCAGATATACGGCGCTGCGGACTTGTTGGTATCAGTCATTGGACGAGGTTCTAGAAAAAATTCAAGCGATATCACTAAGATAAGGCGTAAAAAAGGTCTCTCTGATGGGCTATGTCCCCATAACGAGCTCAGCTAGAGGAGAGTGATAAGGATTCCATAGAGTGCGAAGGGGGGGAGATATGTGGCGAGTATGCGTTCACACAAAGTATACTTCGACCGATTTGAGAGTGCCTCAGCTGTTGCTCTTTTTATGTAAAAGTCCCGCAAGCCCCAAAGGGGCATATCAAAGGGTAAGAATGCAATCACACACACGGAGAGACATTGGTGTACTAAGTATCTAAAATGGAAGAGAAAGTGAATAGATTGTTAAAAGTAACAGGTGCTTATATACATGTACATTACGTTAGTTAGTGGGACAGAATGCCTAAATATTTACAGCAGAAAGGTTCAGTTACAAATCGTATAGCTTTATCAAAAATGGAAAAAGAACCAAAAGAAAATATAAAAGTAAACGAGGCCAGAATCTTGAACTGAGTCAAATGCTGAGAAAAGATAGGGGAAAAAGAAGTAAACTGAGATTCGGGGTTCGAGATTGACCTTGGATGGCATTGCTCATTTGAAAGCATTACGACATCACAACGAAGAGGTTCACTGCAATGCGAGATGCATTAGGTCGAGAAATGGGGGAAGAATGCCCGCGGAACACTTCTCATGTTCGATATCTGATCAAAACTGAAAAGCCCAAGTGAAAAAGGAGAAGCAAGGAGGATCGTGAAAACTGCCTTGTCCTGGAGGAGATGCGAGAATTGCACGCTTCTAGCCTTTCTTTACCTATGTTTTCAATAGAAAACTATCAAGCCATTTTATGTCGTTTTCCCCTTTTTGCCGTTGGCACGAGCGGAGGGTGTGAAAAGCAACAAAAGTACTCGGGGCAGAATTCGAGGTGGGAGTCCGTATACATCGTTCGTCGAGTGATGAAGCCGTCTTTCAAATTCAGACATAAAGATAGAGCCTACAGGAACTAGCTCCAACCCACACATTCCGGATTGGGGGAAAGGGAAATAGTTGCATCATCTAATCCGACGGTCCTGTGAGCCGAACCCACCCCAGGTTCCCGACGGCCTCCACGACGTCCCCGTTGAGTGTTTTGCTACTGTTGAGCTGGAGGTTGCGGCTGATGAACAGCCACTTCCGGTATTGTTTGCGTAGACATATTCGCCGTCGACGTATTGGGCGCCCACGGTGAGCGTGCTGCGGTGCTTGCGTCTGGCGTATCTCTGTTCGAGCCGATAAAGCTCCAGTTCTGTATGGATGTTAAAAACAGTGATGCGAGTATGTCAGAAAAGGGGAACAAAGAAGAGAGGGGGCAAGGATTGCTTCTTCATGGTGTATATTGGGATTAGTAAATGAATAATATCAAAAGGAAAACATCCACACACACGTACTTGCATGTAATTTCTCAAAAAGACCCATTTTCAGTGAAGTATGTGCAAGTTCTTTCACTCAGACCTTGACTTGCGTTTCTCATCAAATAGAGATCGTCTCAAAAACGCTTACAAGCCGCTTAACTGTCGACCGACAGCCCTGCTGTGAGGGTTCAACCAGGCGAGTTTAATAGCTCCTTTTGTTATTTTGCAATTCCTTTACTCTTTGGTGATCGAATGTTCAGGCTGCTATGTGGCAAAGGAGAGACCAATTGCTGATGAGATGTCAGCGGACAATGTATGGAAGTGATCAGATTGTGCAATGAGTCGGGTAGGAATCGTGTGTCGAGTCGAGTCGAATGTCCAAGATAGATAGATATATATATCTTGAGGCCTCGAACTTTTTCTAGCGGGAGCTAAGAACTTTGTCGTGTTACTCTCAGTTGTTTTTCCGCGCGTCAGAAAGTTTTCCCAATCCCAGAAATACAAGACAATAAATCAAGATATGATTGATCAAGCGGAGAATCGAAGGACAAAAGGCGCGACCTCAATTGATGAAATGGACGGGAATGGATCAACGATTGTAACGAATATATGGACACTGTGTATCCGCCATCACCTCGTCAGCTGGAAGCTCCATGTCTGACAAGAGGACATATATTATAATATATATCGGTTTATGTCTTATAGCCTAACGGATCGCAAACGAATATCCACGCTCATCTTCAGGAATTGGAGGTGGGACGAACCTGTTTGGAGGGGAAATGGAATGAGAGACACACACACACACAGTTGAGGCGTGGTTGATGCTGGAAATAAGCGATAAGGGGTCTCACGGGGCACAAAATACTACACAGTGATCGAGCTTGCAGAGATGGTTTCCTCGAGGAGCACGATTGTTGTAAGTTCAATGAATGGATTTATAAAAAGGAATGGACGACATAGGCAAAATAATAACCATAAAAGAGTGGCAGACTACAACAACAATCGCTGCCTCCCGAAGACAAAACGACTCATCGGCGCTACAAACCCAGAAAAGAAAGTGAGAGAGAAGAGACAGACAACATACAGCGTACGTACGGTACGGCCAGCCAGACAGAACTGGAACTGGAGAAGAACCGGACACGAACGAACCGAAAGACACTTTACGCTAGCGATCCACCGGCCCGCATGCTGTGGACAGTGGGCTGCGATATCTGGTTGTTTCAACGTTGCTTGGATGCAGTGGGCCGTCTCGCAGGCCGGAATGCCAGACCGGCTCAGCACCAACGTCACTAGTCGCAGGCTAATCATCACTATTTTGTTTCCAGAACTGCCAACTTACCAAGGGCTTGGTTACCTGGGGTCCTGTTGGCCGTCAGCCACGTTCATTCTCACAGTGACAGGAGGCAGCCAGGCTGTGCGCCCCAGTGTGAGCTTTGGCAGTTGACAGGGCATTGGGAAGGTTACACAGTGGCAGTTGGTGTGAGGTTGCTAAGATTCATTATTGTTATCCCCGTGTGCAAGGAGGGGGGGATGCTAGATCTCAAGATAAACGAAAGAGTGCAGCATTTCAAATTTCGTACTTTTGTTCTTCTGCCCTCGCCAAGGGTCCAATTCAGGGGTAAAAGTCAATCCAGGCGCGCCAGTGTCTCCTTTAGCGACTCGAAAGCATACTACGGAGTATAAAATGCCCCTCTCAAGCCTGTGGCGTCGCAGCAAGCCCAATACAAAGCTAAAACTACATCGATTCAGCGATGATTCCTATGAAGAGGGCTTTTTTGGGCTTGCATGTATGTACGCAGTACAAAACCAACACTTCCTAGGTGAACCCCGCGCCCAGCTTGCATTATGCGTGGCTGCGATTAATAAAATGGGCACAGGCTGCGGCTAAATTCCTACAATACTCCACTTCCACGAGGATGATGATGTTACCGTGGGATCATTGGTTCGATAACCCATGTCCGCTTGAGCTTCTTATCCTTGATATGGTAGCCAAACCAAACAAATGTACGTAACCGCTATACTGAGCGTAAGCTCACAGTCCGAAAGTATTCCTTACTGCAATCCTATACGCTGCGAATAGTCGACAAGCTAAAAGGGAAAAAGTATACTCCGTTGGATATATAAGTACTGTACATGTACAATTCACCCCAAATTCTTATTCTGCCGTCTTGGGAGGGCGGGGAAACCTGGATGGCTCAAGACGGCGACGGCGGTGGTGGTTGATTGGGCTTTTTAATTGGGTCTTCGTCCGCTGGTTCCTCGACTGCCGCATCCATCTCCTCGACTTCGAGGTCAATGTCTTGCGCGAGAGATCTTTCCTGGGCTGCAATTGGTTGTTAGGTAAAATTGTTAACAGAAAGTGCTATTTCAAATTGGTTTTTATAAAAGCGTGAGGGGGATTTTGAAATAGAGAAGACTAAATAAGTCTTCTTCACAAGGGCATACCATTCCATAATTCTGAATAAACACCCCCGTCCATCCCTAGCAGTTCGGTATGCGTCCCACTTTCTGCAACTTTACCTTCCTTCAACACGAGGATTTGATCACAGTCATAGATCGTCCGCAGTCGATGGGCAACGAAAACACTCGTTCGTGCCTTTTCTTTGAGGATGCTGTTGATGTTTTGAAGTAGCGCTTGCTCTGTGTATGTATCTAGAGCGGATGTCTGTTTCACCAAGTAGGTTAGCTGAGCGAAGTCCGTGGCTAGTAAAACGTAGCCAGGGGGGTAGAAAACAAATCTATAGAAAAAAAGGGGGTAAAACTGACAGCTTCATCGAAAAATAATAGAGGGGGGTCTTTAAGAATGAGTCGGGCAACCGCTAGCCGCTGCTTTTCTCCTCCTGATATCATCATCCCACGTTCTCCCACTGGCGTCTCGTACCCTGCAGGTAGCCGCTCGATGAGCTCATGGATGTGTGCCCGTCGTGCGGCGTTCCGAACTTCTTCCGCAGTCGCATCTATTCTACCATATCGCAGGTTGTGTTCGATGGTGTTGTTGAAAAGAGGAGTGTCTTGCGGTACTACACCAATGGCCCTTCTTAAACTATCTAATGACAGATCGCGAATATCTTGACCATCAACTAGAATCCGACCTCCCTGGACGTCATAGAACCGGAATAAGAGGCGTAATATTGTCGATTTTCCGCAACCGCTAGGACCAACAATGGCAAACTTCTGGCCGGGGGGGATTGTGAAGCTGACACCTTTTAAAACCTTCCGATCGGGATGGTAGCCGAAAGTGACGTTCTCAAATCTGATTTCACCACCGCGAGTGAGCTGGAGTGGCTTAGCATCTAGTTTTTCCTTGACGTTAATGTTAACTTTCTGAAGGTTGAATAGCGTTTCCATGTCGAGCAATGACTGTCTCAGTTCCCGATATACTGATCCAAGGAAATTTAAAGGCACTGAGAGCTGGAAAACAAGTTGGTTGACCATCACTAAGTCCCCTACAGTCAATTGACCACCAGCAACACCGCTTGCAGCCAAGTACATAATTCCGGCAAGTGCACCAGAAAAGATAACATTCTGGCCCGAGTTAAGCAGAGCTAAGGACGTCGTGACCTTTATCGACGCATCTTCATACCCCTTTAAAGCCTTATCGTATCGGGAAACCTCAAACTTTTCATTGTTGAAGTACTTGACGGCCTCGTAATTAATTAAAGAGTCGACAGCTATGGTAGCTCCTCTATTATCAGCGGCATTGGCTTGTTTTCGAAATTTCGTTCGCCACGCAGTCGTCGTAATCGTAAAAGCGGTATATGCTATCATGGTCGCGGCAGTGATGGCAGCGAATTTCGGCCCATATTGATAGGACTTAAAGGTTTCTTAGAAGATTTGCGTAGAGGAGGTATTGTTTGAAAGATTGTATACGTACCAGGATACCACAAACCATGGATATTTCCAGCGCTGTCGGGAATATATGGAACACCATTGAAGAGAGGAGGAAACTTATTCCTTTTGTACCTCTATCAATGGCGCGAGTGAGGCCACCCGTCTGTCGGGTTAAGTGGAAGTTCAGATCCAGTCGAAGCAGATGGTCGAATACATTCTGGGCAACCTTTCGAATAGTCTTCTGCGCAACGCTTGCAAACACAGCATTTCGGAGCTCCTGGAACAACGTCGCTCCAATTCTGGATGCGCCATCTATAGTAATTAAACTTAGTTAATTTATTGTTCGCATTTCTTCAGGGGATCCGCTTCCAAACGTACAAGCAACGATCATGGTCCCCGCAACTGTCCAGGCAGTGCCACCAAGAACTGCAAAATCGATATTCATCGAGTCGACAATATTTTTAAAATAGAAAGGAACTTGAACATTGAGAATCTAAGACAGGAGTAAGCGGATGGAGGATATCCCTTGGGGACAAACAAAGAGAGAGAAAATAGAAAATAGCACAACCCACCTTTCCTCCAACTAAGAGGGCGAGCGCTGTGCCAACTCGAGCTTTGGTACCTAAATCATCCTGCAGGACCCCTTATAAGTGGGAACTCTGTAAATGTGTGGGGATGCCGTTCTTTTACCTTAGGCCAGAGATACTTGGCCATTTCTTTCATAATAGCCCAGTCCGCTTTCCGTTGCGTTTTTGCATTAACGGTGGCATCATTGAGAAACTCCACTTTCTTCGTCGGTGTCACATCACCTCCATCTCTCGGGTTCTTCCGAATTATTGTGCTTTTGCTGGAAGCCTTGGGAATCCTAACGGCGGGAGATTCGGAAGCGGGGTTAAGCTTCTTTTCTGAAAAATGGTCCTGCGTATTAGCTTTCCTCAAGGCGTTTCCCCCCGAACTAAATATACGGGATTGCCCTCTGTAATGTGGACGTCCAATGCGCGCTGGTTGCGACAGGCGGAGAATGGTATAGCAACATCTTGTTGGCGGCGCTGTGCCGCTGAGGACAGGCAGGGCTCGGAGGAGCATTTCGGGATGGTAATTGCCTCTAGCATGTACAGGAAAATGCTGTTGATACAGTTGTTACAACTGGGATATCATATCGGCCATGTGAGATGTTGAAGGACAATATCTAACACGGCTTTTTGCTGGGCTAGCCGGACATACCGGTCAGCGGAGGTTCCCATATTCACCACATGAGAAGGTTTACATACCGGATTTCTACGCCCGTATACTGCGAGGCAACATATCCACGAGACAGTCAACGTCAAGAACCTCGTTGGAATTTAGCTAGCTAGCTGTGCGATAAAAATGGTGTGCGGTGAGGGTGCAAGTCGCGCTGCGCTCTCGGAGGTCAAAGTCATTCCCCGCCAAAAGCGGAAGCTTGTTTGCCTTGTTTGCTTCGGCCATTCTTGTCCGAAATCACGAAACATACCGCATGATGAACAGCAAAACGGCATCGTTATCTACATGTTGGTAGGCTTTCTCTTCCTGCAATTAACGAATGCACTCATATGGAGGCCATGAGTCATTCCATCAGGAGATCTCTCCAGCCTTTCGCCCGGAGCCGACGCTCATGGAGAAGCCCTGCCCGCCGGGCTGAGCAGAGATGGATTCATATCCAGCAGCTCCAATCAGCTGAGCCGGGCCTCGTCAATGGCAACTATCTCCCCGCTTCGACCACAGCTAATTCGGCTTCATCTCCTGGTATGGGAATCACTTGCTTTTCCGATACGTCGTCAAACGCTAATACTGTTAAAAAGATGCCAAGTTCCGAGTTCTCGGTGCTCCGTATTCCATCCTTTCCGTTACTCTCTCCGCATCGCAAAACTTATATACACGCCGCGGAACTCTAGTCGGGCTAAGTGGGAAAGCAGACAATGTACGGACAGCGGTCGGAGAAACTCTACATGGGCTACGTGCTGATATTTCCTGACCGCAGGTCATTTCGACTTTAAGTCTCCTAGAACCAGCTCGCCGGGCTTTACTTCGCATCCCGTTCCTATATCAAAAGGTAGGGCTCTCACGCGACATCAAGCATTTGGCATGTCCAATTTCTTATATCTCTGTTCAATCACAGATCTCCTCCACAAGCCCAATTACCGCTTTGATATCGACGCGCTCTGCCATAACCACGTTCTCTGTAGTCGAGATGAATGGCTCTGTCGATTGGATGATAGCACAAGAGAAAGCCTTGCTGGCTTGGACAGGCCACTCTTTAAGAATCAAACCGAGACTCACTAGACAACTAGTACGTACTACACGCTCAGTATTACATGGTATGGAACTTGACGCTAATTATTAAAGAGTTTGTCACACTGGGGAAATTCGGAGGTAACTGGTCGCGGGTTACTTGCTCTCGTTGGCACAGGCCAACTTTATTCGGTTGAATTGAAAGCAGGAGAGCAATATATCTCTCATCCAAGGTACATATATACACATATTTTGAATTTGATAAATATGTACCATCTAACACACTTAAGTAATGTTGTCGCATATACTATCACCGCTCCTTCGCCACGCCCGTACCGGTTTAAATCTACCATTTTGCCATTCCAGATCCCTAGCCTTGGGATTGGAAAACGTTTGTCAGATTCAAATTTCATAAAGAATTTGTCTGATACCGATACATGGAAAGCTGCATTGAAACTGTGGCACATAATTCGGACGTGGTCCCGGAGAACCATTTGGGGTGATCGAGTGAGTTCCCATACACGCATGCATATCCTACCATCAGGGAAAAAGACAAGAATAGATTCCTAACTTCTCATTTTAGTTATTCTTACAATTCGACGGACCAGCTACGATCTTGGTACAATCCCGCGCTTCAAGAATGGCGGACACCTTGACTACTCAGCAAGTGAACGAGATTGCCGATGCTCCTCCAGGTGTTACTCAAGACGCCGTAGACAGGGCAGCAGCAAAATTAGGTGAAGAGGAGACCGTTCCAAAGGCCAAGGATGATTTAAAACCCACGACTGCGATATCTGGACAGAGTGTCGCTAGCGTTCGGCGTGACGGGAAGGTCGAGTTCCACCAAACTGGGGTTGGCCAGTAAAAAATGAAGGCCACCTACTCCATGCTGCCGGTGTCTATTCCCTAATGTTCATTTGATCCGTGTACATATATATATTTATCCTCGAATGGTTTGTACTATAGACATGACATGTTTCTTTTCTATGTCGTTTCAGGTAGCTCTACTGTGATAATGACCCTTTGGAGTTGTGTCCCAAATAATCACCTTGCCCAACCTATTCCGATACCAGGCTGAAGTGCAAAACCCTAGACAACGGGCTGGGTTCTCTCATCGTCTAAATGAGCACCAGGGTGAACAGCATCGGTAGGTATGCTAATTCTGACAGATCCCTTCACCAATGTCACTCCATTGACCCAGGTAGTAATGACCATTTAACAACCGTTAACGGTATAGCTCTCAAGCCAATGCAATTCGCGGTTGATCAGCTATGGAAGAAATTCACAATACATTGCATATTATTTCTCAATTCCTACATAATTTCTGCTTCCGCAATGAAATACCCCCCTCCACGTTGGAAAAACAAACACACAGAAAAAAGGCAGCCCTTTAAAAAGGTAACTCATTTAGTCGACGGATTCGGACTGACCGTCTTGTCAGGGAACTTGCGGAAAAGATCCGCCAGATCATCGATAGGGGCTGTGAGGAGTCCTACCGCAGTTTCGAACGGCGGCTTGTCCGGTGCGCTTGGATGAGAACGGGTAGGCACGAATGTTTTAGTTCTCGAAAACGAAGTGGCGAGTTTCTTACTCTCTTCTTCGCGTAGTGCACTCTCAAGCTTAACGAGGTCTTCTTCTTCTTCCTTTTTGGATGTGTTTCGAGAGGTTTTTCATCAGGGCTTTAATTGTAGGAATGAATTCTAGATTGGTTGTCTTCATGTTTTGGAATTTTTTGTTCCTCTTTCACCTGTTTGGGTTTATCAAGGGTTAATATATGTACAATATAAGAATGGATTTTCCCGGGGTAATTGAAAAAAAGGGGGATCGCAATACACACGACTTGATGCTCTTCACGATCCTTATCGGCGAGGGCTTTCCCGCCCTTCACATATTTCTCGAGGGCAGGGTAAACGACCAACTCCTCGTCAATGGAATGGCGAGCCAACTCCCAGGTAAACTGGTTCTGATATCGAACCTGTTCATCCTGGTCCTTGGGGTTTATGATCTTGTCATAATACGCCTCGAGCTCCCTATGGTCTGTCTTGATGGTATCGGAAATCGTCGTCATGATCGATCGAGGTATGAAGTGTGGACTTTTGCTGAGAGTTATATAAAAGCTCGATGACTTATTAGCTCTAATGACAATCAACAGATTAAAGAGGGGCGCCTTGGGCCATTGAGCCCAAGGAAAGGTGATATCGTCGTCAAAAAGTACACATACTGTATATTGCTACATACCGTAATGCTAAATGAGCAAAGTATTCAATCTAGCAGAGAAGAGGGGCTAGGAGGTGTAAGTCAGTAAAAGTACTTTATTTCGTGTTTATCAATGTAAAGAAAACTGTGAGATGGGTAGACGTACATATAAACGCGACGATGCTGACATTTAAAAGCTCGTGGGTACTTGATATTCGATCGAATCAGGGGGAAGAAATGCAATGCATGGAACAGTAGGCGAGAGACCCTGGAGGTTAGATACAAATCTTCTGAGTGATAATATATGTCACAAAAGGGCCACACGTCATCTGCACGTAATATCAACCCCGGAGGGCGAAATAGTTGGCGCATTGTGTCAATTCTCATGTTATCAACCTCTTCATTGCCAAGTTTATCCACGCCCTGTGGACAAAACGCATCAGGATTTATGACGGCGAACCGAGCTCAGAAGGATTCTGGATGCCTCCCTTTCGAGCTATCATTTCAAGCAGACATTGAAACGGGGTTGGCTGGCGCCGTACTTCTTGAGAACTTTGATAATTGCTTGGTCAAATAGGGGAACTTAGGCTATTGACTACTGAAGCGTTGAGGCAAACTCCACCGGCAAGCAAAAAATCTTTCCGATTGCTCAGCCACTTATCTTTTCTATATCTATTTCATGCAGCTAGTAAAGACTCGAAAAAAAGCATGGAGTTGGCGGACTGGGGAAACAGGTTCTTAACGTCACCTTTAACACGGACGAATGGTTAACCCCTTTAGATCTGACCTCACACCATGATCATCGAGAGCAAACATTTCGTTAATCAAGCTGCAATTGCCTGGAGCAACCCTTTGGGACTGCCATGATGTGTTTCAGGGTAGTTTCGGGTTGTGGGATGTTTCCTTGTTCCCAACAGATGACATGATGTCAAATAAATCTGTCATATCTCAAAAGTTGGCAGCGGGGAGAATGCAGGACTGGCCTATGTAGTCAGTCTCCCAACCCGGGCAGGGGCCAGGAACATTTTGAGGCGATGGCATAGGCAATTAAATTGCAATCGAATTCCACTCTCTGAAGTCTGAGGCCCTGCTGGGAGGAAATATCACGGATAATTTCAGGTATCCAAAGTCCAGTTTTCGCTGGTTTCACCGGTGAAATCAAGCTCAAATGCTTGCCGTTTTCTAGAGCACGTTTAGAACCACCACAGGAAATCTTGAAATGCAACTGCTTGTCTGAGGTTAGTTTATAGCCAGCCACTATGAAGGGAAAACCTTGAGGAGTTGAGAGCGGAATTTAGACGCTGGCTAAAATCCTAAGCCCGATAGGAGAAGAGGGTCCATTCACCAATTGTTACCATGCCGTCGGATATAATGACCCAGAACGACATAAATTCCGGCAGATGCTAGCCAGCTAGCAGTCGGAAACTAAATAAACTACACGTACTTGTTGTGTACGTGTAATGTGCAGTACAAGCGCTGCTTGCCGCCTCGACAATAAAATATACTGTGTTTGATTTCTGCTCTAGCCGCTCTATTACAACAGCAAAAGAGCTCAGCGAGGAGAGCAGTGTCTAGCAGGTAGAGATGGTGGCCCTTTCACAAGGAGGGGGCTCGTCTTAGGTGAAGCCAGTGCTTTTCCAAATATATATATAAAACGAAACCTTCTGAGGGCAATTACCAAGACATCCCTCAATCCCACAGCCAGCGAAGTTATTTTCAACCCTTTGTGCGCCCGCCTATGTGGACCCCTTAAACACATCATCTTTGACATTAACCCAATCAGAGAAAAATGATAGTCTGCCACTTAACCATCTCAAAGAAATCAAAGGATTTGACAGTCGCCGCCAATGCGCTTCATGAGCTCATTCTTCAATCCTTCTTCTCAATCTTCGAAAAACAGAGAGAGATGATGCCACAGATGAGTGATATGGGGGAAACACAACCTGTAATTCATTTTTCTCCTAATCACCTACCCGGCGTATGAAGAACAGAAGAAGGATCAAAGAATCAGTTCTCCAGTCCCTTCAGAAACACACCATATAGTTAATCAACTATAGATAATGTGTGAGGGTCTTCTGCTTTCCCAAACGCAGGCCGCAGCAACTCTGAAGTCTCCTCAATAAGAACAAGGCACTGTAGGCTTTAGTCAAGCGTCGTGGAAACCCAAGGTGCCAATTAATCATTGAACATTTCTAGTCGTCTCGCAGAACTTGAAACTTCTCTGACCCAAGCTCTTTGAATTATTCACTCCCGAACAGAGGTATATAGTATGGAAAACTAGAACGGCTTGTCTAGCGCGCTCCCCCACCATGCCGAAGATGCAATTGATCATTGCTGGAAATTTTTCCGCGAGATCTTCTGCATGTTGAATCTTGATATGAGTTGTTGGTCGAGCGTAGGGATTGGCAAATACCTAAGCCCTAGCACCTGTCAAGTTGTCAACACATGCCCGTCAAGTTCTTTGCAAAACGACGGGCCCGACGGGCTTGACAAACGGCCAGTCATCGAGTGACACCGGAGCTCGTGGAGCTGCAATTATCAGAACTGAGGAGAAAAGGATGGGTTAACCCCTTCGGAAAGGGATGAAACCAATAATCTCAAACAAAGAAAAACCTATCCTTAATTCCCGTTTGAATGTTTGAATGAGATTTCTCGAGAGGGGGATCTTCGTCGAGATGGAGGTCTATTACCCCTTCTCGGGTCTGTTGAGAGCGACTAGCTGATAAGGGGAGTGAGGGGCAATTTAAGGCATAGCATACGGAAGTGCACGCACCCTGATACCCCTCTCGGTTTCATCCGCAATGATTGCCAGGCAGAGAGGAATCTCTGCAATAGATAGACTTGCTGCAGCTCAGAATATAACCGCGTGGCGTATGATTTTGACCGATAACGGTAATGGTTCACGCTGTGCATTGTACTCTGTAGGACAGTCTCAACTACAGCCAATGGTACAGGGAGGGGGCTCGAGCACATAAATACCAGAGGACCAACGCTGTACGCTGTTCATTATGTGTGGTAGCATGATTGCTACCAGCGATACAGGTAACAGTTTTTACTTTCGTGTGTGTGATTGCAAGAAGGAGTCTGGTTTTCAGAGAGAATAGGGAGAAGACCAAACTATCGGGCGTGCTATTTTTACTTTATTTTTTTAAAATATATTATTTAATATATAACTATTTACTTTAGTTATTTCTGCCAGCCATGGGGGCTATTTGATCAATCCCATCTCATATTCAATCAATTCAGGCATTAAATCCATGGTTTTATCCCACTCTAGAAGATGTGAAAGAAACTGACTCGGCTGCAAAGATCTCTAGATTCCAAGAGTTCAGAAGTTCGGATGATACGCAGCAGCCTCTCTCTGAACATCATCATCATCCTCAGAGAATGTCACGGCTGGTGTCCTTTTGTTTCCCATTTAGAATCCCGAAATCACTGTAGATGGGGTTGTGATATTTAAATACTGGTTACTGTGGCGGACGTATTTCATCCAAACCAACAAGCTTTTGGAAACCGGAAGACAAGCGTTTGTGAAGGAGGGAACTCGCGTAGTTCAGTGTACCAAAAGCAACCGCCATAGTTAAATAAATATTTACAATACATCCCAACACCAACACCAACAACAATAAGAACCGAAGTTATTGTTGGATAAGCAAACCCGCACATCCATCAGGTCTAAATATCACCCTTCAATTATTCATTTGGTCACTGCTTTTCCATTGCCATGCCATGCTCGGAACTAAAGGGTCGTCTTGGCATGCGGTGTTCGGCATCCGCATAAATTCGCATTTCGGACCCCATCCCACCCCTTCACCCCAATGGCCAAAGGCATAGGGCGCAACCACGACGCTATCCGAGTCGTTAATCTGGGTCAGGAATTCGGACTGACAATCACTCAAAGTCAGCTTTAGGGCAGTGCACTACTTTACTCAATTGCAAAATGTGCGAAAAAGGTACTAGGACTGTGGCCGCTTTTCAAATACAATAAAACGTGCGGGAGAATGATTCCCAGGTCGGTCGGGGGCCGAATGTTAGCATCGATAAGTCCATATGGGTATAAGTAACAGGTCTTGATAACTGTTCACTGCTCCTCCTCCTCTGCAAGAAATCGGGACATCTTGATCTCATCAACAGTACTATACTCTCATCTCTCCTCTACTTCCAACCACTTCATATCTACCACGGTTCAACAGTTAAAATGACCAAGTCTCTCACCAGCACTGAGTCTCTTGAGAATGGGCCCCCTCCTGATACTAACCCAGTCACCTTGGGCCTGTACGCATCCCCTGAGATCCGAGAACCAACTAATCTCAAGATCGAGGGCACTATCCCCACATGGCTGACCGGCTCTCTCTACCGCGGCGCGGCAGCGACCTGGGATGTTGGCACCTACACGGCTGAGCACTGGTTTGATGGCTTCAGCCGGAACCACAGATTCGAAATCGCCAATGGCGCCGTGTCATACCGCAGCCGCAACGGCGCTGAGGAGCTGATGGATTTTGTTCGTGAGACCGGACGGTATCCGACCTCCAGCTTTGGCAGTGACCCCTGCAAGGTCATATTCGGGGCGTTCGAGGCCACCTACCGAGACGGCAGTAGTAGTCGAGGAAAAGCAAGTAGTAGCAACGTGGGCGTCTCGTATGTTCCCAACTTTGCGGGAATTCCCGGCAACTCAACCACCCAGGGAGCCCCATTTGACGCTCTCGTCTCGACAACGGATGCCAACGAGTTGCAAAGAATTGATCCAGTCACACTCGAACCTGGTGAACTTTTCACATACGAAGCTTCCAATAAGCTTCTTGTCAACTCTGGACAAAGTGCAGCTCATCCGGTCGTGGGTGAAGACGGCGCCGTCTACAACTATGTGCTTGATCAGAAAACCTCACCTCCGACCTATTATATCTTCGGAATTTCTCCTCCGAAAGGGGAGACCAAGATACTCGCAACCATCACCGATGCGCCTGCAAGTTACATCCATGCTCTCTTCGGGTCAGAGAAGCACCTTGTTCTTGTTGTTTGGCAGGCAGATTTCGCCAAGGAAGCCATTACTATCCTGGATAGCA